CATTTCTACATATCAAGATTTCTATATTTTTCTTCAACTTATCACTTTTCACCCCTTCAATATTTTCCCCAAATTCTTCAAAATCTACAAAAAAAAATTTTAAAAAAATGATTAATGCAAGAACACTCACAAAAATACATGTGTATATATCATGTAAGATTCACATGTAATTATATAATGTGATATTCACATGTGATTGTATGTTTCAAAGTTGAAATGTAAAACTCAAAGGAAAATTTTAAAAAATAATTACCGAAAAACACCCACAGAAAATGCATGTGTGCATATAAACGTAATACATATGTGATTCACTTGTGATTTACATGTGAACCACATCTTATTCTTATGATATTCACTTGTGATTTACATGTGAATCACATGTAATTGATATGTGATTCATTTGTGATTTATATGTGAATTACATGTGATTTACATTTGTGAATCACATATAATTCATATTTGATTCACTTGTAAATCACATGTGATTTATATGTGATTCACTTGTAATTTACATGTGAATCTTAAATGAATCATATGTGAATTACATGTGATTTACATGTGAATCACATGTAATTCATATGGGAATTACATGTTATTTACATTTGAATCACATGTAATACATATGTGATTCACTTGTGATTTACATGTGAATCACATGTATCTCATATGTGATTCACTTGTGATTTACATGTGAATCATATGTGAATTACATGTAATTCATATGTGAATTAGTTGTTATTTACATGTAAATCACATGTAATTCATATGTGATTTATTTGTGATTTACATGTGAATCACATGTAATTTACATATGATTCACTTGTGATTCACATGTAAATCACAAGTGATTCATGAAGCTCAATATAGAAGAAATTACCACAAATCAGATATGGTTAATTAGCTAATAGATAAAATATAATCTTACTAACAAATGAGCTGCAACTTTTATCATATTCCTGTATAAGTTGATCAACATTTTATAGGTTATAATAATATTTAAATGTTATTATTATGCTTTACTAAAAAATGATGGGGCTAATATTAATATGTAAATGTTGTTCCTTTATAGTTTTATTAAACTTTTTTGACAATTTAAAATGTAAATATTTACCTATGGAGAAGATGCACAAGTGAATAAAGCTTCACATTGATCAAGAAAATCTATTTCTTATGCTACTCCAGTTACAAGTTCAAAAACCACCCAATTTGTCCTCTCCAACTATAGAAAAGCAATTTATTTACAACATCTTGCACTTTTATAAACTTCAAATGAATATGTAATTCAATTCAACCTACACTAACATTTACATCTTATCAAAATAGAAATATAAAGTAATTGTGTGTGTTTGTAACCTCTTTCATCACTTCCTGCAAATCACCAACAAAATCCTTAATGAATGCATATAATACTTTCATTCATTTCTACATTGCTGCTTCTTGAGTTTAGGATAAATAATACAAGTACCTGAAAAATCAGGCATACAAAATAAAAGGGGATTTTGCGATGACATTCAGGCTCAACAGATGCAACTGTAACTCGATCTTTCATTTGCTCAAATGTGTTCCAAATATCATTCACAAGATCCGACCTATTCAATGGATTCTTCTCACAACATCTCAAACTCAAATCGGCTAACTCATTCACAAGATTCGCATGCTGCTCCAGTTACAAGTTCAAAAACCACCCAATTTGTCCTCTCCAACTATAGAAAAGCAATTTATTTACAACATCTTGCACTTTTATAAACTTCAAATGAATATGTAATTCAATTCAACCTACACTAACATTTACATCTAATCAAAATAAAAATATAAAGTAATTGTGTGTGTTTGTAACCTCTTTCATCACTTCCTGCAAATCACCAACAAAATCCTTAATGAATACCTATAATACTTTCATTCATTTCTACATTGCTGCTTCTTGAGTTTAGGATAAATAATACAAGTACCTGAAAAATCCGGCATACAAAATAAGAGGGGATTTTGCGATGACATTCAGGCTCAATAGATGCAACTGTAAATCGATATTTCATTTGCTCAAATGTGTTCCAAATATCATTCAGAAGATCCGGCCTCTTCAATGGATTCTTCTCACAACATCTCAAACTCAAATCGGCTAACTCATTCGCATGCTCAATTGGCCAATCCCCAACCGGTATATCCAAAATTTCACAAAACTTCCCAAATTCCATCTCACATTTTGTGTCATTTACAACACATGAAGCTGGCCTCCATGGTAGCATTCTCAATAACACAACTCCGAATGAGTATACATCAGAATAAGGAGAAAGCGTGTAACACCCCAAATCCAGCATACCAAGAAAGGAAAGAAAAACCCTAAATCAAGGAGTCAACTCGTCGATTCCAAGAAAGAACTCGACGAGTAGGAGCGAGTTCCGTGTCGCGGATTAAGTGGCCGACTCAGCGAGTCGGAGGACTGACTCGACGTGTCTGGTCTGGGTTAGGAAACCCTAATTTCGGGACTTGGTGCCCTATATTAGCCTCATATCCTCATCCCTTCAGCCTCATCTTCAGCCCCCAAACCCCAAACCCTCACCCACGAAACCCTAGTGCCTTTCTTGTGATTGTGAGCCATTTTTGGAGCCTGTGTGGTCTACTTGGAAGCTTGAAGAAGAAGAAAAGCTTGGAGGAATCAAGAAGGGAATTGTAGATACAAAAGTAGCTTCTCAATCTCATCACTTTATGGTAATCAAGTCTTGATCTTGCTCATTAACCTCTTAGATCTCCTCATGTCCCTTTTGTTTGAGTTTTGGTTCAAAATCTAGATCTATAGGGACAAGGACGTCCCAAGCTTAGATCCATTCAGATCTGGAGCCCCTAGGTGTGGCTAAGGCATAAAGGTGCATGCTTTATTCGATTAGGATGTCCAATGCAAGATTAAGGAGATTATCATGGCCTTTTGGAGCCTAAAAGGCCATTCAAGGAAGTAAAGTCTAGGACATTACGTGGTTATTGGATGTTTAGAGCCTAGATCTTATTTTCCCTGTTTTTGTTTGGAGTAATAAAGGTCTTGGATCATGGATTTATGTCTTAATGAGCTAGGGTTTTTTCTAAACCCGTTAAGAAGGACTTAGGATGGGTAAAGCTAGAAACTTTACACTTAATAAGTAATTTACAGAGTGTTTATGAAGATTGGAGTTCAGATTTGAAGTATAAGGGCTTAATCCTTTAAGATTTTCTAACAGACCGAGGAACTCGACGAGTCCAGGGAGGGACTTGACAAGTTTAAGCGAGTTGTCCTGTTTTCCGGTTATGGGTGAACTCGACGAGTCAGGGGAATGACTCAGCGGGTTGACTCGATTTGTCATGAGTCTGGTTAGTCAGGGAACTCAGCGAGTCAGGGGATGACTCGACGAGTTGGTTCGCGATTACAGGATTCTGAGCTTTTGAACTCGGCGAGTTGATGGAGCAACTCGACGAGTCAAGTCAACCTGAAAGTGTTGATATTGACCATGGACCATTGAATTTGACTTTGTCCAGAGTTGACTTAGTTTGACTCCTGGAGAGCATTTTGGGACTAAGTGTTATGTTGGTATTGGTAGTTCGGGGAGCTAGGGGAGCAGAAGTTCGGGGACCTGTCGAATAGTAGCCAGATATTTCAGCCAGTCTTCAGTTGTGCGAGGTGAGTCTTCTTCCATTAGGAACGGGTCTAAGGCGACAATGTCGTCCTGTTTAAGTAGTTGTTTTATGCCGGGGTGAGCCCGATGTCGGGGTAAGCCCGATGCAGTTTATATATTTCCAGACTTCAGTTCGATTCCATGGCGGCCCCGAGAAGTAGTTAAGTATGCGTAATGTCTTTGTGATTCATGCAGGTTATATAATATGTACTATGTGTTCCAGACTTCGTTCCGATGCCGGGGCAAGCCTGATGTATGTTAATTTACGTGTTGTATGTTATGTGTTCCAGGTAAGCCCAATGTCGGGGAAAGCCAGATGTATGTTAGTTATTATGCCATGTGTTATGTGTTCCAGGGCAAGCCCGATGTATGCTAGTTTATATGTTATATATTATATGTTCCGGGCTTCGATCCGATGCCAGAGAAAGCCCGATGCAGATTATTTGATTATGTTATGTGATATATGCTATGTTGTGTATGTGCCGGGGTAAGCCCGATGCCGGGGTGAGCCCGATGCCCGATGCAGTCGGATGCTGGGGTGAGCCTGATGCCGGACAGGAGTCCGATGTCGGGTAAGCCGATGCTGGGATTCGTCCCGATGCAGTTGGGAGTAGTCCAAGAGTTATAGTTAGGTTATGTGTTTATGTTATATGCATTGTTGATATGTTTATATGTGTACTGTTCTACGGTCAGATGTCGGGCAGGTCCTGATGCAGTGGGCTAGGCCTAAGTTATGTGATTATGTTTATGGTATGTGGTAGTTTGGGGACACTACTATAAAAAAGGCCTTTTACGACGCGCATTGCACGTTGTAAAACGCTCAGATGATGCACAAATGCGCGTCAAGGAAGGCCCTGTCATAACGATAGACAACGCACAATTACGACGCGCTTTTATGACACGCAATGTGTATCATTAAAGCAGCTGTCAAGAAAGGCCATGTCATAAATGAAGCCGACACACATTTTTGCGTATCGTAATTTTAAATTTAAAAAAAAACTACTTATTGATTTACTAATTTTCAAATTAAATTTGCATTTGATGTCTCATAATAGAAAATAAAATATCATATATAAAAAATACAATCCATTGCACAAAAGCTAATGTCATACAAATAATCATTCCCATAGTAGACAAATGTAATACATCAAATGTGAATAATGCAACCATTAGTTTCACATAAACCAATCTATTATAAACAAATCCTTGATTATAAGCAGACAAATTCAAAGTTTAAAAGTCAACCAGTGGGGAAAAGTTCAAGCCTCATAGTTGTCTCCTGGATGATCCCTTGTGTTATTTCCTGGCCAAGGTGTTCAATCCTGCAAAATACAACCTTCATCAGGGAGTTTCTGCCCTTGACTAAACTGAAAGTGAGACAATAACAGTTTTGCCATTGCTTATATTGGATAAAAACTCATCCACGCTTTTCTTCTCTAACATAACAGTCTCTGCAGAAGTAATGCACCCACTTCATGATTACAACAATGTTAATGTTACCAACTCAATTCATCAACACTTGATGTATAATGTACCTGAACTATAGTTGCACCCTTGATGTCAATATTTGATCGTTGTTGAATGCGGTCCTTTCCAGGGGTAAACTTACTATTTATCACAGTTTTTGCATGGTAACTGTCATGAAGTAGACAGAGTATTAGAAAGATAACAATTGTCAGAAGGAAAAAGGACATGCAAGTGTAGAAGGATGCTTTGATTTCAGATTAAAAAAAAAGGACTTACTTCATCTTGCATCAATTTCATCTGATGGTTGACATTTACAATAACAGTAGGAGGGAAGTATTGGTCAACATCACCTTCACTAATACCTCTCACATTTCCACCTCCAACAATTTCAGCTCCTTTATCCAATGCATCATTTATTATGCTTTGAAGGCTTTCAGAATGGTCTTGCATGCAAATCGCACCCATGTCGTATTTTCCAAGTTGAGGAGGACTCGAGAATATTTATTTAATTAATAAAAAACAATACGTTGCAAATTATATATAATCAAAAGGGTAGAACTGTAATTACTAATTACTTACTTACAGCAGAGACAGATTTAACAATCTTAACAACCGCAACTATAAATGAAGCGTATATGTCTTTGTGGGAATAAAATCTTTCAGCTCCTGCACAGTTTTGTACACTAGATTGTAAAGCAGCTCCTGCTAATTTTTATAGAGAAAATGTAAGTAAGCTGCTATTATGGATTACATATTTGCTATTATTTCTAGAAAATGTATATTCATTGCTATTTCTCACAATTTGGAGTAACCAAAAGATGGAAAATTCAAAATTGTCATATGAATTTGACCGAAAGTCAAAGATTCTTACGTGAGCCACATCGATGTCTTCATAGACAATAAGCAGATCCTTTCCACCAAGCGCAAGTGTCACAAGTATCAATGTGTCAGTGGCTTTTCTCATTATCCGGTTTTATAAAACAATGTAATGTGAAATTACGTTAATACCCTTTATGTTATCTTCCAGTCATGAGATGGAAAAGGGAAAATCATACCATTCTGCCAACACCTGGAGAGTCGACAATTAAGATTTTGTCAACTAAGGAGACTAATGCTTCTCCAATCTCAGCAAACATAGAAAATTCAAAGTTTAAGGGACCTGATAAAATTAAAAATTATTGAAATGACTAAAAAGGGCTTGGCTTACCTGGTTATGACTTCAACAAGATTTTCAGGAGCTCCAATAGCTGCAAGGGCAGTTTGGAGAATTCGCACGTAGAAGCATCCAGACCAGCTTGCATGTTCTGAAACCTGAAATACCAATAAGGAAGAGTAAATTGCATTTTTGGTCCTTGAGTATAGCTGATTTTGCAATTCAAGTCCCTTATTTGAGGTTGTTCATCTCTATTTCAAGAAAATGACTATATTTTGGACCAATATTGCAAAAATCAGCTATACTTACGGACCAAAATAGTTATTTTACGTGGAATAAGGACCAAAACTGTTACAAGACCACAAATGATGACTAATTTGCAAGAGAAAACATTTTTGGACCAAGACTGCAAAAATAGCTATACTCCAGGGCGTGTAATGTAAATTACTCAAGAATTAAATACATTGACAACTATGCCATTCCCAGAGAAGACAGCAACTTAAATTGAATTAAATACCTTGACAACTATGCCATTCCCAGAGAAGACAACAGCTAAAACTGGATTAAACAAGTTATGAAATGGATAATTCCATGATACAATTGCTCCAACTGCACCAAGGGAGTAAATTCGACTTTGGATTTTTTGTGAAGCATTGATCTTCCAAATAATAATAAAAAATGTTAGTATTCAAAAAATACATTACATACCTTATGTTCCATAACACGAGCAAGTCTATACTTCTCCTTGAGATATCCCTCATGACGCTCTCTTCTCAACTCAACCTCAAACTGCACAATCTTTCAAAACACTTTGAGGTCAAAAGGACTAGTCCCAAAACATAGAATTGATAAAAAAAATCAACCTTTTTTTAGAAAAATCATACTTTCGGAATAGACATGGAAAAACTAAAGACTGCTAATGCCGAAGTTAAGTTAAACAAAACATTAATTCATATTTGGAAAATATTCCACTTAAATCTCAGCAATAAATTAATATAGCCATACACTTGTGCTTTAAAGCAACCCTAACATAATAATCATTTAATGTTATCAAAAAACTTAAAAAAACTAAGTAACAAAATTTCTTATAATATTCATGTTGGAAACACACTAACTATCCACACATCAAAATGAGATGCAATTACACAAATTTAAAAAGCCTAACCAACATTGAAATTCATTTGAAAACTTGAGTTACCTTCTGTCTGAGGGTCATCAATGAATTTTCTCATGCAGTCATCAAAGTTAGTCCCGTTAAAAGGATCCTCACCAATACCTACACATGTGGATTGACCTAGCCCTACAGTAGTGGTTTGGTATACCTGTAACAAAATGAACAAACAAATCATTCAAATAACTGCATAGAATCATAACGTTTTCCAAATTCAAAATAAGCAATTAATCTTAAACCAATCATATAATAAGTTAAGAAAAAATCAAGAATATCTTACCACTTCATAAGTTAGTGTGCCAGATCGAGATACAATACCAATACGCCCCGGTTTATGAATGTAACCAGACATGATTCTGATGTTGCATTCTCCAGGCTTAATGATACTAGGGCAATTTGGTCCATTCAACCGAGTTTTTGACTGCTTAATAAGAGCAGCCTTTACACGAACCTATATGCATATGTTTGATTACAAGGGACAGACAATCAATAACATTCTTAAATTGAAAGCACAAGTAGCCAACATATTGATGAGAAATGCAACTTACCATGTCATGTTGTGGAATTGCTTCTGTAATGCAAACAATCAAATCCAATTCAACCTCTAATGCTTCCATGATTGCTGCTGCAGCAAATGGTGGAGGCACATAAATTACAGATGCATTAGCCTTGGTTTCAGCTTTTTCGTCTTCAACTAAGATGAAAACAAGGAGCCCTAAATGCTCTGTTCCACCCTTCTTTGGGGTAACTCCACCAACCTACAAAAGTCAAGAACAAGGTTCAAAATAAACAGAAAGCATTTTCAGAGCTATATGTTGAAATTATTTATATACATTTCTTAGATCATTATGTTCACGTTTTCATTTCTAATCCAAAAATATCTCCATGTCATTACTAAGCGTTATTGTGACAACCCGGAATTTCTATTCTGAACAATCATTCACTTCAATAGAAATGAGAACTGTTCCTGGTATCTGTTAAGCATTTTGGAGTCAGTTTAAGTGTTTTAAAGCTTAGTACTTCAAAGAATAACAGGAGAGATGATCCCCTAGGTTCATTGTGCATCATTTTCGCAAAAACTCCAAGAGTTAGGAGTTTTCGGCCCAAATGGTGTTTGGACTGAAAAACCGAAATCCTCTCAGGTATCATCCGATTTCTCCTTCTAGATCTTTAAAATGTGAGTGTTTCTTACCCTATCTAGTTGATTCCTTCCATATTCAAGTGCTTTTACATGATTTCATCCATGAAATCATTCCATTTATATATATCTTCAAGTGTTCTTAATTACACCAAGAACACATACTAGTGTTTTGGGCGGAAAACACCCTCCTTTGCTTCCTTATTGTAAGTATCTATCTCTTATACTTGTTACCTAGTAATAGTACCTATTTAGAGCCTTCCTAATGTGTAGTATTGAGTCTAGAACACTTCTTTACTTTTTGAAAAAAAGGGTTTTTCCGTTAGTGCATCTCCCTAAACCAAAAACCCTAAAGAAAGGTGCCTTTAATGACTTTAAGCCTTCCTAATGTGTAGTATTGAGTCTAGAACACTTCTTTACTTTTTGAAAGCCCTTGGAAATCACCTTAATCATAAAAGAACAAGAGTTTTTGGCCAACTTTTGGACTGAAAACCTCTTGGACCGAAAACCATATGGACCGAAAACCCCAAAGAAACATACCACTTGGACCGAATGCTTCCTTAAGTGGCTATACAACCCTTAGATATAACCCTTACTACTTCTAGCACTAGAATCAAAGTGTTTTCCATGTCTTAGGGTGTCTTAACTTGGTTAATTAGTTGTTAAATGACTAATTGGGTACATATATGTGTTATTATATGTTAAATAGGATTCGTGTGTGTGTTCAAGTCCTCACTTGACACCTACCATCCTATACCATCCATTCATCCAAACCACTCACTACAGGTGAGTTTATACCCCTTATTTAACCTTTGAAATGTTATTAAATGTTTTTAAATTATTTTAGGGGGGGGGGGGGGAATACAAGTTGAATCATGTTAGTTATTAGATCAATCACATGTGATTAATAACTAGCATACTAATGAATTACTTTAAACTGTTTCACCAAACAAATGACTTCAAACTGTTTATCAAGCTATTTTACATGTCAAACTCTTTATCAAATTCACTTGTGTAAACTAAACCTTTCTTTTATAGTTTTCCAACTTATATATTGTTAAAACCATGTCTACTACATATATAGTTATACAAATAATGTTTGAAGGACTTAGAAATGATAACCCACTTTACTTCCTGTCCTTGTTTCGTTGTGTTCTTAAAGTACCCGGTTATTTGTCCGAGTGTCATTGAATCCTTAGTTATATATTATGTATATATGTATAGTGATGGGTTTTGAGCATTCTATCACTTCCTAAGTGTACATGCAACCCTAATAACCTTGGATCTATGTTTGTCTAATTATCATGCAAAGTTGAATTCCAAGGTTATATTCCTATCTAGCATACATGGGGAACAATTTTTAACTTGAATGAAAGATAGAATAACTTACCTTGTTGTTGCTTATGATCCTTGAAACCTTGTGAGCCTAGCACCCCAAGTGTGATGCCTCAAATGCTTCATACAACACCAAATGCTCTTGGAAAGACTTTTGAGAGAATACACACTTCTTCAAATCGGCCTAGCCCTCTATTTTCTTATGTGTGTCCGATTTTAGTGTAGAATGGGACTCTTATATAGTGTTGACACATCTCGGGTTACACCATGTAAACCCTAATGTGTCATGACTCTTCATTTCCATGACCCATGGGTTTATAACTCCCATGGAGCATCCTATGGGTGGAACCCAACTTGATAATCCATGGAGCCTCTTAGCCCACTACACAAGATATGAATGATTTACATAATCAACCCATATATTTAATTAGTTATCTTTTGATAACTTAATTAATTCTAAATTAATTCTTGATCAAACTAACCAAATAATATTATTAATATATTAGAACTTATAATATATTAATAATCTCCAAGTGTTATTTCTTTCATTTAGTCTATCCAATTGCATGGTGCCATGCAACCCGAATGGACCATGCCGGGTCGGGTCGAGTACTGACCCGAAATAGTTATGGACTTAGACACCTTATCTAACAGTCTCCCACTTGGATAAGTCTAATAACTATAACTCCAGTACTTCAGGAATCGACTGACAATCGTAGCTCTTTCAAGGTCTCTCGAAACTGAGAAGATGTTGATACGCCATTTAAGATAAGTGATCATACAATCCTCTGTTCTAGATATCAGCCGGACAAATACATGGAACAATGTCTTACTTATTGTCCAGTAGTTTGTTTCCCGATTTCCGATTTTTTTGACAAAGAACTTAATTGAACACATCAACTTAGTTCTGACCGGGCCCGGTACATAGGTCAAAACAAAATCATCGAGGGGCCCATATATCAGCTTCTAATCCAAGAAGGAACATATAAACTTCGACTCATATGTTTGTTCTACCACTCATTGAATTACACACAAAAGCACGTTTTATAACATCGAGTTACCAATGCATTTTCGTACAATCAATGCATAACCAACTTGTAAGTAACAAATCATATCTCTAGGTTTGAAGACTTATATGATATTACCGTCTCAAGATCACTCGAGATAGAATTCCATGAAGTGATTCCAGTGAGCGTGGGTTGAGTCCAATACTCAGAACTTATGAGCACTCATGATTGTTGTAGCCTTGTCCAACACCTTAGACGTCTGCAACCAATCATGACAGTCTTGATTCATACCTACTTCCGACATTTGACCGACTGTGGAGGTTTGAATAATATGTTATACCAAACAAAATTATTCTGGAAGTCAACACATGCAAAAGAAATATAGTAAACGATTGACAAGAGATAGCAACACTTTATTCATAAATAAAACACCTTTTATTCATCATCTAATGTCAATTACACTTTACAAATTTTGAGGTTATCTAAATTCTAAATCTAGTATCATCCTTCATCCCTATGCTACGAGCATGCTGGAGATGCTTATCCCGAGTCAGTCCCTTCGTGAGGGGATCTGCTGGGTTCTCATTCGATGATACCCTCTTTGCCACGAGGAGTCCTTCTTCTATTCGATGTCTGATAAAATGGTATTTTATGTCGATGTGTCTGGATCTCCCGTGATCCCTTGGTTCCTTGGCTAAGGCAACAACGCTTTCACTATCATAGAAAATTTCCATTGCCTCTTTAATAGCTGGTACAACTCCAAGGTCTCCAATGAAGTTCTTCATCCATATCGCCTCCTTTGCCGCCTCGCTAGCTGCAATATACTCTGATTCACAAGTTGAATCAGCCACTGTCTCTTGCTTGGAACTCTTCCAAGAAATTGCTCCTCCATTTAGGGTAAAGACCTAGCCCGACTGAGAGCGGAAATTATCCCTATCAGTCTGGAAGCTAGCATCACTATACCCTACAACTCTCAAGTCATCACTCCCACCGAGGGTAAGGACCCAATCCTTAGTCCTCCATAGGTACTTGAGGATATTCTTTACCGCAGTCCAGTGTGCCTTGCCAGGATTCGCCTGATACCTGCTAACCATGCTCAGGGCAAAGGCTACATCAGGTCGAGTACACGTCATAGCATACATGATCGATCCTACAGCCGAAGCATAAGGTATTCGACTCATTTCTGCTATCTCAGCCTCAGTACTAGGGCTTTGTGTCTTAATCTTGCGTTACTCTGGATAGGTAACTCTCCTTTCTTGGAGTCCTGCATGCTGAATCTCTTCAACACCTTATCCAAGTAGGTACTCTGACTAAGTCCAATTAGTCTTTTACTCCGATCTCTCAAGATCCTTATCCCTAGAATATAGGCAGCTTCTCCTAGGTCCTTCATAGAGAAACACTTCCCAAGCCTGGACTTAACTTCATGGATACATGCAAGACTCATCTTCACTCCTCGAAAAGCCAAATTCCTTCACTTTCTCATCAAAGCAAAGATTCCACCTGCGAGGTGCCTGTTTCAATCCATAAATGGATTTCTCGAGTTTACACACTCTATTAGGGTACTCGTTGCTGACAAAACCCTCTGGCTGACTGATGTAAACATCTTCAGCCAACTTTCCATTAAGGAAAGCGGTTTTGACATCCATTTGCCATATTTCATAGTCATGAAATGCAGCTATGGCTAACAGAACCCAAATAGACTTAATCTTGGCTACTGGAGAAAAGGTCTCATCATAGTCCACTCCAGGAATTTGAGAGAAGCCCTTTGCAACCAGCCTAGCCTTATAAGTGTGTACTTTAACATCCATGTCGGTCTTCTTCTTGAAGATCCATTTGCACCCTACTGTGTTACGACCTGGTACATTCTCAACCAAGTTCCAAACTTGATTGTCATACATGGACTGTATTTCGCTGTCCATTGCCTCTTTCCACTTGGTTGACTCAGGGCCTGCCATAGCTTCTGCGTAACTGTTAGGTTCATCCAGACCTATCAGTGTCTCATCATTGATAAGTGTATCTCCTTCTGCAGTAATATGGAATCCATAGCAATGCTCAAGAGCATTCCTAACCCTTATGGAACGCCTCAGAGGTACAGACTTGTCAATTGGCTCAACAGGAGTTTCCTCCTCAAGTTGAGTGCTAGGGTTTGAAGTTCCTTCACCGCTTGACTCTTGAATTTCTTCAAGATAAATTTGCCTCCTACTATTTCCTTGGCTTATGAACTCTTTCTCTCTCTAAAGAAAGCCTTCCTAGCTATAAAGACCACATTTTCACTTGGTCTGTAGAAGAGGTAACCAAAGGATTGCTGTGGGTAGCCGATGAAAATACACCTCTCGCTTCGGGGTTCGAACTTATCATGAGTCTCGCGTCTCACGAAAGCCTCGCAACCCAAAATCTTGATGTGGTCTAGTTTGGGTACTTTAACAGTCGACATCTCGTGAGGAGTTTTGGCAACTTTCTTTGTAGGGACTAGATTAAGGATATGGGCAGCAGTCTCTAAGGCATACACCCAGAATGAGATTGGTAGCGAAGCTCGACTCATCATGGAACGAACCATATCCAACAACGTTCGATTATGCCTCTCAGCCACACCATTCAACTGTGGTGTCCTGGGTGGTGTCAATTATGAGACTATCCCACATTCCCTTAGATAGTCAAGGAACTCTGAACTAAGATACTCACCACCACGATCGGATCGAAGCATCTTAATGTCCCTGCCCAATTGATTCTCGACTTCCTATTTAAATTCCTTAAACCTTTCGAAAGTCTCTGACTTATGCTTGATTAAGTAGACATATCCATATCTACTGTAATCATCGGTAAAAGTCAAATAATAACGATTAGCATCTTTTGTGGCATGCTTGAATGGCCCACACACATCCGTGTGTACAAGGTCCAACAAACCTTCACCCCTCTCACAAGAACTTGTGAAGGTTGACTTTGTCATTTTTCCAAGTAAGCATGATTCGCAAATATCATTTGACTTTAGGTCAAATGACTCCAAGACTCCATCCTTTTGGAGTTGGCCTATGCGTTTCTTGCTTATATGTCCAAGACGACAATGCCATAATGATGCTTTATCCAAGTTATTATTAACAGAATCAATACACA